CTGCACTGACCACAATATACTTAAAGGGGTGTATTAACTGTCACGGCCTGATGGGGTTAAATAAAGAAAGACCTTCCCAGGGTGGATTGCTCCTGTAAGCTGCTCCTATTTTTCATCGTGGCGAGCAGCACGTGTCAGCACAAAATGGCCACCACATATCTTAACAATTGCTAAGCAGTCGTCAAAGGCGTTCAATCTCCCGGTGACACTGGCAGCCACATGTCACAGACGACAATAATCCACAATCCCCTCTCTTCCTGTCCTCTTTTTTTTCGAGCCGTTTCGACTCTCTTCTCTTCCCTCTGTCTGTGTTTTCCTCTGCACTCCGTCCCCCCCCCCTCCTCTCTTTTTGCCATCTCCCTCTCTCTCCCCTGCATCCCTCCCTCAGCAGAACTACAGGGGCTTGCTTGTTGTCAAGTCGGTGTTTTTATAGCCTGGCATTAGCACAGGGCAGCATTCAGTCAGGACCCGGCATTCACTTTAGCTTCCACTATAATTCACATGCTCATGCGAGAGCTCACTCCTCTCAGCCCTGCTGACAAAACGACCCTGATTGAGTGTTACGGAGTTTGTTTTTTTTTGTTTGTTTTTTTTTTTTTTCTGACAGCTCAAACAAGCAGTTTACAATTCCTTAAAAAGTGGCGCAAGGTCTCGCAGAAAGTTTTGCGTGTGGAAAATGCCGAAATTCCTGAGTCAAAAAAAAATCCCTTTAACATAGGACGCCGTGTAGTTAAATAATAATCATAATCTCTTGACTTTTATTTTCATTTTTGTTGCGCGTGAACGCCCCCTCAGACTGCGCTGCTTTTGCTTCACCGTCTGTCAATCACGATATGAGAAAACGCAATGAATAAAATACAAATCTGAACGTATGAATTCTTTGGCCTGGCGTTGGCTGAGGAGATGTTGCAGTCCACCGACCGACTCGCCTCCTCACTTCACTCCTTGAGTGAAATCCACTGCATGCCCTCATGCCCTGTGGAAATGCCCCCCCCATCTCTTACGGGAGCCGCGCCGTACTAGATGCACGTAGATTAATAATCGACTGGGGTAAATATAATTACACTGCCTTAGAAATTAATGAAGGCATTGATCGCCCCCCCCCACCACCACCACCACCCACTTTACACATAATGAGCATATTTTTCTTTAAGCCACTGGAGTCTCAGATGATAGGTCTGATTACATCACGCTTTGACGCTTTGCAATATAAAGTATAAGAGAAGTCCCATCAGAGAAGTTGTCGGCACTTTGAAGTCCCTTCAGGTGTCCGGATTTAAACGCGATAAGCTAATGATGTCTCCGGGGGACTGGGATGAATTCATCCGAGGGAAAACACATATCTGCATATCTAAATTGTCTTTTTTTTTTTTTTTTTTTCTTCCCTTCTCGGCGCCCCCCCTGCGTACGCCGGGGTTTGTAGCCTTGGACGGCGGTTGATGGACACGGGGTGGGCTTTGATGTGCTCTGGGGTCATGTGTCTCCGCTGTGCTTATCAAAAGTACAAAAGTATGTGGAGTAAATAGGCCACACCAGAAAACCCTGGGAAGGTCTCTGAGCCAAACAGAGCCGGGGAATTTCCTCCTGGGGAGAGTGTAAACTGAAGTACTTCTCTGCAGTTACACAATGTAACTTTAACAACTTTAACAACACGTTTTTTAAAATACTTGAAGATTTTTTTAAGTACTTTAGGCCGGGGTGTCATTAATTTCCACCAGGGGGCTACATCAGCAATACAGTTCCCCTTGAAGGCCCGGTTGTAAATGGAACACTGTATAGATCAGGGGTCCCCAACCCCTGGTCCGCGGACCAGTACCAGTCCATAGGTCATTTGGTACCGGGCCGTAGTGGGACACAGTTAAAAAATATACCTACATTTGACTAATTTACTTCATTCAAAGAAAATCCTGTTATATTTATTTACTTACTTTAAATATGTTATAACAATATTTTAAACTGGTATAGATGTAACTACTCCATAACAGACTAATCCATGTTTCTGCAATTGATTATTATTTGATTGATTATAAAAACTTTTAATTTTTTAGGTTAATAAACTCTGCTGCATGGGCCTCACAAAACTGCTTGGCGGTCCGCATTTGGCCCCCGGGCCTTGAGTTTGACACGTATGCTTTAGGCTTTCCTTGAAAATGCAGTAAAAAAGCAGGTTAAGCATCAACTTTCCGAAAAAGAAAAAAAAAAAAAAAAAAAGTTAACTTACAGCCTTGAAAAGTAAAGCAAACAATGTCTTTAGATAAGTTGACCTTAAGTTGATGACTCGGCTTACACATTAGTCCTGCTATCTGAGGTGAGATAACAAAGCAGGTAAAAGGCAGGACCGACAAAATGGTCGAAAGTTCATCCTACTGCAAAAATCTACACACGGGGGAGAGGATGTTAGAAAAAAAAACTAGCATTATAGTAGTAAAATATACTACAAAAATATACTATAGCATCACAACAAAAAAAGCGGCTAATGCTGTTAGCTAACTGCTAATGCTAATAATAATAAACTTTTTCTTTTACAGTTTCCAGTGAGCAAAAAAAAAATCAATAATTATTAGATCCATGTTTACATGCTTATTCAAGTTGATTATATCTAATTCAATGTTTCATATGTTGCTACTGTACTACATTTTCATTTCATGAATTAGAGAAATAGACGTTTCGCTGACGGAGGTTCGAAAAAATAAATGCACCCACACTTGCCATTTCACATTTCGCTTGCTTGACAACAGCGAGGAAATGGAATTAACACACACGGAATAACAGCGTGAGTAGGTTTGCCTATGGCCAGCTCTTGTAGCCATTGAAGTGTCTGTCATCTGTCCTCATTTGTATGCCAGGAAAAGACATTCCATAATGCTGCAGCAACCAGAAACAACACAAAAAAAACAAAACAAAAAAAAAGAGCGCACAACAGCAAAACATGTCCATCAAGGAGACAATAAAAATAGGCTGTTTCCTCTAAATTTGCCCAATCAATAATTCATGCGTCGCACACAGACTTGATTTATGACGGAATTAAATATTGTGGACTGGCCCCCTTCGCGACTGCCGTCCATCTCGGGAAGTGGCGGCTGTAATTAAAGCAGATAAGGCAAACACGGAGCGACCAAATCACCTCATGGAGGAGACCTGAGATGTAACGCAGCGGACGGCCCGATTGGAGGAAAAAGGGCAGTGGCGGTGATATAAAAGGGGCGCTGCATAATTTATAAGAAAAAAAGTTTTCAATTGAAGGGAGGAGGTCAGCAGAAGTCAAAGAGGCTCGTAAAAAACGAAGGCCGAGAACAAAGAGCGGAGCGTGCACCTGCCGACCTGTGGGACCCCGTGACTCCCGCGGTTTCGGCTGTAAAGTCACGGCGAGCACAGAACATGACAGTTTTAGTGTTGCTCTGGACACGCCTGGAACATAATCACTACACAGTCAGTAGTTTAAGGAATATTACCTTTGTGTTTGAGGGAGTTTCATTTGGTGAACATATATAAATATATATATATATATATAGTACACATATGTACTTACTACTTTGCAAAAAGGTCTGTCTTTAATAATCCCACCTTTGTAGCTAGACTCAGTGCAAACGGCATTCACCGCGAACAGAAGTATATGTATGAGTATATGTACATGCTGTTTACAAACGTATACACACATATATATATTTATATTGATAAATCCTATAAATACTATATATATGTTTGTATATGTATACAGTACATTACTTTTTTTTATTTTTTTTAAGAGATACTATTAACTACCTATATTATTAAATACTCAACTGTACTGTACTGTATTCAACAAAGACCGGGTCGTGACCCTCAGATGGATCGCAAGATTTTTTTTTTTTTTGGGTCATCTTGCATCATGTTCCCCTGGTGTTTATGAATAACGTCTATTGACTTGAGTCGAAACACTGCATTATACAGTAGATCATTGTTTCCCAAAGACTGGGTCGCGACCCTCTGTTGGGTCGCAAGAGATTTTTTTGGGTCGTCTCGCATCATGTTTACCAGGAGTTTACGAATAATGTCTATTGACTTGGGTCGCAAAGGTTTGAGAGTTTTAAAATATGGGTCTCTTAGTCACTGATTTGTTTTTTTCTTTTTTCCGAATAATTAAGGTTTAACTAAGATACAGAAACGTTAGCTTATAGCTAAACATTTCGGAAATATTGAATCACTTGTGAATTATTTTTTTGTTTAACGCTTAAAAATATGTACAAAAATCTATATAGTTGCACTGGCAGAGAGACTCTCCCTCTCTCTCTCTACCTCACACACACAGTAAACGCGAGAGAGAGAGAGAGAGAGAGAGAGAGAGAGCACAAAAGAAACCAGCTAACGCACACGGCAAGTAAAGCAGTGAAAATCAATTACAAATAAGCCTATTAGTCTGTGCGTGAGGTCACAGCAATATGATTATCGAAGTGCCCGAGGATGTACAAGCACGTGTGTGCCAGGGTGTCTGCGCGTGCACGTGCGCACTCGTGGGCAGAGCAGGCAGACGGCTCCCCTGCTGAATCAGTGGGGCTGTTGGTGCGCAGCAGCAGCAGCAGCAGCAGCAGTGAAGAAAAAAAAAAAAAAAACCCCAGTCAGATGGAATGACTTTGGCAGTCAGGGTGCGTTCAAATGCCTCAAATTACTGCTGGAGAATACGGGAATAAGCTCCTCACCCGGGGCTAATTACGTAGCAGTAATTAAAAAAATAAAAAAATTGAAAAAAAAAAAAAAAAGTAAGAAAAGCTCTTTTTTGTCAAAAGCAGCATGCTAACACCGCTGCTAACAGCATCTCAGGGCACGTCTGAAGAATATTCCAGAGCTGATAAAAGCCGTTAATAAGG